CTGTATGCGTATTGTTTGATTGTTCTACCCCTGTTCCCACTCTCCCTACCCTCCCCGTATTTTGTGACCACCGGGACCTCTCAAGTACCGCATCAGTCCACACTGATGTCGATGGAGCTGAGCTTGGGCTGCCGCCTCATTGGCCAGCCGCTGACGTTCTGCCTCTGCTGCCTCCTGCTGAGCCTTGGCGGCGGCTACGGCATCTGTAAATACCTGTAGCCGCCCAAGATAGTCAGCCAACGGCTCACTGTCCCCTCGGACCGGGCATTCGGGAAGAACTCCGGTGGTGTCTGGTACCGTCAATGCTGTACTCGATGCCGCTGATTTATTTTTTTTATCATATTAATCAGGCTGACGCAGCGGCACGAGACCAACGGAATGCCGCCAATACGGAGTCCCTGATTCATAGTGAGAGTCAGTGGACAACGTTCCTCCAAGGCATGATCTTTGTGCCTTCGGACGCGCAGGCAGATCCGACACCGGCGAAGGCAGAGAGGACTCACCTGGCTAACTTAATGCTGGGCATGATGAGAGGMATCATGTGGAATAACACACTGCTGCAGGCACATCTGCGCACGGAACGACAGCAGCGACAGAAGTACCAGCAAGACATTGTTGTCTGAACAACTGTCATCCACGCCGAAGCAACGCAGCAGCAGCAACAGCATCAGCTGTTGAACTCCGCTCTCGCACGCATCAACAGCATTGAGGCTAACGCCTCAGCAGCGCCAGGCTGCACGACAGACGAGACGAAGCAGCTCAGTGGGCGCATCGATCATGTCGTCAACCTCATAGGCGACATAGGTGTTTTCAATGCGCCGGACACGATCAGTAGCACGATGGCCGCCATCAAGACAGACATCACCAAGCTGCAGACGAGACAGGACGCCACTACGAAGAACTACAAGATGCCGCACTTCGACATCAGCAAGTTCGACGACCACAACAAGACGGACGCTTTGGCATGGTGGCAACGTTTCCTCACGGAAGCATCATGCCGCACTGTCTCGGACGACTATCTGATGAAGGCGTTATACTTACAGCTGATTGGAGGAGCGCAGGCATGGATGAACCATCTGGCGGCTACCCACACATGCACCATCGCCGAACTTCACACGCACGTTACGTGGAAGGATTTCGAGAAGCTATGGTTCACCCGTTTCATGGTCCGCAACGTCGTGAAGGCGACCATGAACGAAGTGTATACCTGCTCTCAAGGGAATATGCCAACTCGAGACTGGACAACTAAGTGGCAGAAGATAGTGACCACGCCAGGCTTCGATTTGAGTTTTACCAATCAACGATCCGAGTTCTTCTCGCGATCGTGCGCAAGACTGCGATCGACACTCGGCAACGATTACGATTACGATTCATTCCAGGCCATTCTGGATCGTGCAAACTTGGTCATCCAAACGGATGACAAGGCCGCAAACGAACGGCAGTCCCAGCCGCATTATGTGGCTAAGCATGGCTATCAACGTCCGGCACACAACAATGCCAAGATTTCTGAAGAAACAGACGATCTCCACGCTGCAGCAGCATCCTCGAGTGATGGAGGAATTGTAGCAGCGCTCCCGCCGAAGCGTCCCAAGAGAGTTCGAAAGAACAAGGCGACACAAGAGACGACATCGACAGGAACTGGGCAGCAGCCATGGGCGGCTTACAAGATAACCAAGGATGTCTATGACCTTCGTCAAAAGTACGGATACTGCCTTTTGTGCAACGGCGTCACTCATGTGACCGCACAGTGCCCCGAAAAGGGCAAGGCATGCGTACCCCGTCCAGCAAACTCGGGAAACTGAGTTACGCAAGGAGAGGGGCGACGTCTCTCCTCACTCCGCCGGAATCGGTTGCCTTGCTAGCAATCGATGTCACTACCGGGGAGCATGCGTTAGTCGCTGATTCTCGTGCCACGTACGAGGATTATGCCGCCCAGCTGGTACCACCACTAGACCAGCCAAGCCACGTGCACTTAGATTGCGTATGCGCAGCCTGTACACCGTCGGCAAGTGATCCCGTCAGTTCGCCACTGATTTCCAAGGACTCGACGGCATGGTCAAGACTTGAGGAGCTTGACCCGCTCACGAGAGAGGACTTCGCTTGGATGCCTCTACCCTCGACCGGAACCTTGCCAAGGCCGCATTGCAACGCCTTGATAGCAACTCTACGCTCCTATTTGCACGCTACAGTACCAGCTCCGATGACAGACGACGGAGTAGCGGTTGTCGATCTCCGCTCCTATCTTGCGAAGATTGACCACGAGTACGCCACCCAAAGGTACGCCGAAACCGACGCACCTTTGCTCTATATCCGCATTCAAATCGGAAAGGCAACCTGTAGTGCCTTGATTGATTGCGGAGCGTCTCGCAACTTTATGAGCCAAGCCTTTATGGCCCACGCAGGTCTTGGCCCGCGCGTTCGAAGGAAGACGCAACCTACGCAAGTTACACTTGCGGACGGCCGCACGCAAAAGTCAATTGACCGATGCGTTGACGGCGTTCCGGTCTACTTTGCGCCCCTTGCGTGCGAGCTGGTGTCTTTTGACATCCTCGACACCAAGTTCGACATGATTCTAGGCATGTCTTGGTTGCGTAGCGCCGATCATCCAGTGAACTTCCACGACCGGACCGTTCACACCCGTGATCGGAACGGAGTGTTAGTCCCATGTACGGTCGCGACCCCTCACACTTCGATTGCTTGTCACGTGGTTTCCGTTGCGAGAATTCGC